TTGGGCGCCCCCCCACACCTGACGCTGTTGGGAGCGCCAGTGACCAGGTGGGGTCTCCATCATCCCAGGGCGAGGCTGGGCTCCGTGCCCCAGGCTGGGCGCAGGAGGAGGAGCAGGGAGCGGGCAGGGTTTGCAGGGAAGGGGGCTGCTTTGGGTTTCAGCGCGTGACGCCAAGCGGGAGTGTTCCTAGGCAACCCCCGGGAAACGCCCCCCCACACCTGACGCTGTTGGGAGCGCCAGTGACCAGGTGGGGTCTCCATCATCCCAGGGCGAGGCTGGGCTCCGTGCCCCAGGCTGGGCGCAGGAGGAGGAGCAGGGAGCGGGCAGGGTTTGCAGGGAAGGGGGCTGCTTTGGGTTTCAGCGCGTGACGCCAAGCGGGAGTGTTCCTAGGCAACCCCCGGGAAATACAGAGCGCAGCGCATCTCCAAAGCCTCTGCCTGCCCCGACACCATTGCCATGGAAACAGGGTTGGGCGCCCCCGCCCGAACTCAGCATCAGGCCTGAGTCACTCATCACAGGCGCCCGGGGGCAGAGGAGGTGGAGGTGGGAGTCGTGGAGCCCGAGGCGCACCTGTGGTGGGGAAGGCTGCTCAGAGCCCTGGCTGCAACAGAGCTGTGGGCTAACCCAGTGCTGAACTCAAAGGCGGCTTCTGAAAGAGTCTGTCAGGGCACAGCTACTCTACTGGACAAAGTCCAATTAAGCGCCGTAACTTCAGCTACATTCACTGCATAGCTGAGGTCCAAGGAGCTTAACTGGGCTTTTGGTGCTGTCCACACAGCAGAAAGTCAAAGGAAGAGCACTCTGCCTTCAGCTTCCCTTGCTCCTCCTGTAATGAGGGTGACCAGCGTCCACAGGAGTGCCCCTCTCAGTGCAAATGAGCTGTCTTAAACGCTAATTCAAATCCTGGAAGATCGACAGCAACTTCCATCTTCCTCTGCAGTGGAGATGTACCCTCAGTGCCTGGACCAAGTCTGTCATTGCCCAGCAGTGGACTGTCACTTACTTCAACAGACAGAAAAAATCTCTGTTTGTTAAATATTTCAATAAACCTTCCTCTTCACCAGCCTACCTACTTCAATCCCACCTCAGTTTCTAGGCGGTAGGGTAGGGCCAGAGAGATATAACTTTAAATCTTAGATCCTGTGATGGTCTGCCTCCTGATTATTTTTTTCAGCATTTTGTCCCATTTTCTTTTTCAGACCTGTACACAGGGAGTGAAGGGTGAGAAAGCACCCCCCATAGTCTTTCAAGTAAGCATGCTCTGGCTAGCCAAGAGAAAGCAGGAACAGCATGCTGCCGGATCCTCCCTCCCATGCTCTGGCTGGCAGGGGGAAGGCTAGGGCTGACTCACTTGGGGGAGCATTCACAGCCTTGTGGTTCACATTTACAAAAAAAGCATCCTTCACAGAAATTCATGTGTATGGGGCTGACACACAATATCTAGGCAGAATTGTTTCTGAATATGATAGCCATAGTGGGTCAAACCAAAGATCCATCTAGCAGTATCCTTTCAGTGGCCCTTAAGTACAGGCCACAGGCTGCAGTGAGCAGAGGTGAGGCTCACTGAGCCACAAATGGCAGCTTCCCACCCTGCCCATTAGCTCCAAGGCTTGGCTGGCTTATACATAGTGATTGAATTCAATCTCTTAAGGTTAAGAATTCCTAAAAAAAAGCAAGATTAGTCTGCAGAAGAGAGATAGCAGTATCCTTTCAGTGGCCCTTAAGTACAGGCCACAGGCTGCAGTGAGCAGAGGTGAGGCTCACTGAGCCACAAATGGCAGCTTCCCACCCTGCCCATTAGCTCCAAGGCTTGGCTGGCTTATACATAGTGATTGAATTCAATCTCTTAAGGTTAAGAATTCCTAAAAAAAAGCAAGATTAGTCTGCAGAAGAGAGAGTGTACAGGCCCTCAGTGCCACCTGAAAGGCAGTGTGCCCCTCCTCCACCCTCAATGCTGCCCAGAGTGCACTGCACCATGTCCTAGCAGTAATTTAAAGGGCCCTGGGCTCCAACAGTAGTGGCAGCAAGGCCTAGGCCCTTTTGTATTGCCAGGTCCCAGGGCAATTTCCTCCTCTCCCCCATCAGCAGGCCTGAAGGTAGCAGAACCCATCAAAAACAATTGGGATGGAACAGTCCTAGGACCTAGCTAAGTCTGCCAAGTAGGTCAACACACCATTCATAAAAAGTATGAGAGACTAGTCTATCTTGGTTAATTTAGGCCACTTTTCTAGGTGCAGCCCTTAAAAAAGTCTGATAATTTACTCTGCTTCTTGATTCATCTGTTAGAAACTGCATACCTAAAAGGTATCAAAACTATTACCGTTCTAAGATGAAGGAGCACAGTGTGCTGGACTCAAGAATTGGGAAGCAAGAAAGGACAAATTATGTTCCCAGCCTTTCCCCTGCCTTGGTGTACAGGCTGAACCTTTCTGGATCAAATTTCAGCTCTAGTGGAAGCAGAAGCAACTGCAGTTAAAAGCATCAGTTGACACCAGGGCTGAACTGGGGCAGACACACATACCATTTTTTAAATGGAACCCTTAATACTTCACTGTTACAGGGCTGCCGTAAGACTTTGCTCACCATTGTCAAGTGTTCCAGAATAGAAGGTTGCGGTTATTCTGGCTCTCAATGGCTTTACTCCTTACATCTAAGATTGAATTCAAACACCACTTTCTACCTCTTCGTATTTCCCCAGGTGAACCAAGGTTAATTTTCTGTCAGGGAGGATAACTCAGTGCCACTGACTATAGGTGCTGGAACTAGGGGAGTGAGGCAGGAAGGTGGGGGAGAGGGAGTGCTACAGCACCCTTGGCTTGAAGTGGTTTTCAGTAGGGTTTCCAGTTTGGTTCAACAGCTCTCAGCCCCCTCACTATAAAAATTGTTCCAGCACCCCTACCTCTGACTAGCCTTTGCCTTCTAGTGCAGTGTGTGGCACTTGGGCTATGACGGCACAGGGAATCAGTGTCAGATGTGACTGAGTGTCACAATGCCTCCTGGAGAAACTTTACACTTACCTGGAAGAATCACGATCCCAGCAACCATTTCTTACTGATCTGAGGGCCAGTCCCTGAATGACATTTATCTAAGCTAGGGATAAACTAGTCCACACACTGTAGCTCTCCTTACTGTTTAACATCCCCTCTTCGGAAAAGCATGACAATACATTGACTTGTAGGTCACAGCAGTTAAAGGGGACCACCACAGTGACTGTAAGGAGATGGGAAGGTTAGGTATTGCATAGTACTGTTCTAATCGAACCATAAAACTTTCATCTGTGAAAATTATTTTAATATAAAATACATCTTTAAAAATATCAATGTAAGGGTGTTAACACTTAATTATCTAACCCATTTGGCATCTGCATTTTTCACACTGTAGTAGGCATAGTCAGTCATAACAAAAATGAACATAACATATACACAGTTTTGTTTTTTCCCCAAAGCTGAAATAATTCAGATAATGGCAAAAATATACATGTGTGTGTGGGGGGGGGGGGGGGAATCTCAGCTTGCATTTAGGACTATTAGAACATTTCAGTGCGGTTTCATATATTACTATTCTTTCTTGGCAAAAATACCTCTGTAGTATGTTTTCATTTTTTTTTTTTGCAACTGAGCACTGAGAAAATTATTCAGTTCTCAAATCTTACAAAAGCTGAAAACAAGAAGTACGATGACTAAGGCTAACAAAAGTGTTAACTGTCCGAGGACAAATACTGCATACCTAGAATGCCATGTCTATATTGCACTAGTGACAGATTTCAGTAAAAATACTTATATACAGTATATATTTTAGTCTATTTTAAACCATGTATCTGTTCTGAAGGCCACGTGTTCAGTGTCCTCAAATGTTACAAACGTATTTATTTTAGAATCAATCCCAATTTATGATCATGGCTCACATCACTTATTCTTTACAAGTGGTTTTAGTATTAAAAAGCTATTTATCATTGAAAATATCCCCAAATTAGTTGATTTCAAGCTCCAGAATCATAATAGTTTCAAAATGTTTGTGTCCTTCTGATGAGCTTGAATTGAGTGTATCAATTCACTACATGGGTTACAAAGTTTATTAATGTTTGACACAAGAGTTTCAAACTCTGGGAAAGTCACAGTAAACCAGGTGCTGCTACCTCTAGTGCAATGCATCTTCCTTTCTGCCTTGCTTTCTTCAGGTTGTGGACTTGGCCAAGAATGACTGCAACATACATTTACTCAATGAGCTTTCCAACGTCAGTTTTCAAGAGTTGGCTTCGGTGGCTCAAAATTTCCTCTTCGGAGGAGTTTTAATTCTCGCAGCTCTTGTGGTTGTAAACTCTGATCCACTCCAGGAATTAGCTTGTAGCTTAAGGGAGATTCGATATAACCATTTCTGTAGAGACATACCCGCTTGCAGAATTCAAAGGTGCTAAACATAACACCATAGTATGGGACAATCTTAACAAAAAAAAAATTGAAATCAGTTAATTTAGAATCAATATCCACATTCTCTAAAAGCTAGGATTTATAAGACTTCATGAACAGATTTGACCTCATTGGCAATGTGGATTCGCACAGTTGGGAATCTGACCCTATACTAGTTGTATCATTCTACAGGTACCACTACGTTGAGACTTGGTTTATTACATGTACAGGTTGAACCTGAACCTCTCTAGTCTGGCAACATCTATGGTCTGGCATGATTTCAGTTAGCCTGATGTCCACTTATCATGAGTGCAACAAAGTTTCCTGCTGTCCCATAAAGTTTGTTTATAGCCACCAGTTCTGGCACTCAATGTTCTGTGCTGTTATTTAGCTCTAATTTACCCTTAAATGTCTTCTAAGAGCCCAGTAAGCAATGGAAGTGTTGGTAATGCTACTAGACTGGGGGTGGGAACCTTTCTTGTGTCAGGGGCTGCTGACTCACAGATAAGTCAGTCGGGGGCCACACACAAAGTGAGAAGCAAAAAAAATCCTGGGGGGAGGATCCCTGAGCCTTGGAGACTGGATCCAGGTAAGCCAGGGGCCACATCTGGCCCCTGGGCCTTAGATTCCCCACCCCTGTATTAGACAATATTGACTTCCCAAGGTTCAGCAATTTCTCTGGTTCAGCAACAGTTAGGTTCTTAGGGTGCTGGACTAGAGAAGTTCAATCTGTATAATTAGACTATATCAAATTATTGGGAAGAAATGGGGTTGCGGTGAACTTGAAAACAAGACAAAGCTTAAAAGTTAAGATTTGTTTTAACGGGAAATTTGGGATGCATTTGGTATGTGGGAGAAATGCATCTTTTTCTGTCCTAAGCAGAGTCAATGAATCTATGCTGACGTATTCCCACTCTTTGGCTATGTCTAGAGTACATGACTCCATCGACGGAGCCATGTAAAATAGTTTATTCGGCATAGTCAAAGAAGCGGGGATTTAAATAATCCCTGCTTCATTAAAACAAAAGTGGCCGGCTGCACTGTGCCGACGATCAGCTGATCCGGCACAGCGCGGCAGTCTAGACGTGGCGCAGTCGACAGGGGAAGCCTTTGTTGACCGTTCCGGTAAACCTCGTTTCACGAGGCATACCAGAGCAGTTGACAAAGGCTTCCCTTGTCGACCGCGCCATGTCTAGACTGCCGCGCTGTGCCGGATCAGCTGATGTCTAGACTGCCGCGCTGTGCGGGATCAGCTGATTGTCGGCACAGTGCGGCGACCATTTTTATTCTAATGAAGCGGAGATTATTTAAATCCCCGCTTCTTTGACTATGCCGAATAAACTATTTTACATGGCTCCGTCGATGGAGCCATGTCGTCTAGATGTAGCCTTTACGTTTAGTCATTTTCCCTGCTGTGCCTCTCTGTTATTTCCCAAGTGTGTTTGAATCAACTTTCACCAAAAGACTCTGTCACTTCTTGGAACGCTTTTGATGAGGATGGTGTCACATGAAAGGCAGCAACTTGCAGATGGTCTGTGAGACCAATCCTACTCTCAAACAGCTACACTGTAACCTGAGTAAAGGCGAATCTCTATCTTTGCGGTCATCAGCGATCTAATCAACAAGCTGTTCACAAGGCAAGGAGAAGAGGGATATCATGCACATTACAGTCCCAACTACCAATTAGCTAGAGGCGTGTGTCAGATTGTAATTAAGTACAGACTGATCAGAATGGAGCGAATCTCTACCTTGAGCAGATTGGCTGAGAGTCCACACCAGAGTCCAAGCACGCCCTTAGTCTTTACCGTTTGCCTAAAACAGTCCACCATGCCAGTAAAATGGACATCAACCCCTCCCCAGTGAGGAAGGCAAGGACTCTGAGCCTGTTCAAACCAAAAACACACCAGGTGTTAATTATGAAATGAATTTGTTTAATTCCTTCATTTCTATAAGCATTCAACACTTAGCACAACATTTAAATACTGAAACAAGAAGTCTTTGTCTATTTACCATGCTTTAGTCAATTATATTTCAAAGAATCAACAGTTCTGCCCAAGGTCTTACTGAAAGACAACTAGTTCGGGGGGGAAATATTTGAAATTTAGAGTATAGGAGAAGTCTACTCTTAATTCTATGTGGCACTACACATGGCATCGCTTGAACAACACATTCAAGCCCCTCCCCCAACACAGTAAAGATTTAAACCACCAAAATGCAGTCACATTAACACATGGTATTATGTCAATCTATCAGACCAGTGTGCAATTACCACTTAGTTCACATGGAACAAAAGTTCAATGGGTCATTCTCGACAGCAAAATCCGTTCACCATTAATCTCTCGCTGTGCAAGAACAGTTAGGTTGCCTGATCTCCAGTAATCTGATCCTTATCCATCTCTATGCACAGAGTTTTCAGTCTACTTTGCATGTGCAAATCAGTGCTTTATTCATACATATGACAAGACACATTCCTTTCCAGACAAGTGATTTAGGCATGTGATTGAACATGCAGGTCCGATCACTGAAGACTGGTAATTTTATATTGGTGGCAGTGATCTTATATTAGCTGGAGTTTAACTGTTAATTTACTGGTGAATATTGATCTAATTCTCTTTCATTTTTCCAGTAATCTAGAACAGCAAGTGGTATAATATTCCTTCTTAGTTTGCCTGAAAAAACCACAGCTTCCTCAAGACAATATGTAAGGGCCCTACCAAATATACAGTTCATTTTGGTCAACATCACTGGATTTTAAAAATGGTAAATTTGACAATTTCAGATATTTAAATCTGAAATTTTACAATGTTATGATTGTAGGGGTCCTGACCCAAAAAGGACTTATGTGGGGGATTGCAAGTTTATTTATGGGGATTGCAGTATTTCTATCCTTACTTCTGTCCAGCTACTGGCAGCAGCATTACCTTCAGAGCTGGGTTGCTGGAGAGCGGGTGGCTGCTGGCCAGGAATCCAGCTCTGAAGGCAGAGCTACTGCCAGCAGCTGAATAGAAGAAAGAATGGCTTTTTATGATATTGCCACCCTTATTTCTGCCCTGCTGCCTGCAGAGTTAGACCGTTAGCAGCTGTCACTCTCTGTCCACCAAACTCTGAACGCAGCAGTGCAGAAGGGCAACATGAATATGGTATTGCCACTCTTAGTCTGTGCTGCTGCTGGCAGGATGCTGCTTTCAGAGCTAGGCATCCTACCACATTACAACCACCACTCTCCAGCTGCCCAGATCTGAAGGCAGTGAAGAAATAAGGGTGGTAATACCGTGACCCTCCTAAAATAACCTTGTGACTCCCCGGCACCTCCCTTTTGGGTCAGTACCCCTAATTTGAGAAATGCTGGTCTCCCCCATAAAATCTGTATAAGGTAAAAGCACACAAAAGGCCAGATTTCACCATCTATGATGCTTTGTAATGGCTGTGAATTTGGTAGGGCCCTACTGATAAGTCTAACAAAACTTCTCTACCAAACTGACAACTCATGATGTTTTCTAGATGCATCTGCTCTAGAATTTTAATCACTTGGCAGCTCCAGTCTAGCTGGTGAAAAATGGAAACACACCAAAGTTTGAAATCATTCCTGATATAAGTGGGTGCAGCTAAACTGGTTTTAACAGAGTTGTGACCCCTTATGCCATAGGTGAATTTGACCCTAACATTTTAGGACACACAAGAATACTTATCAATATATGTTTATCTTTAATGTGTCCCCGTCACCCCAGCAGGGCAGGGGGATTAAACTCTGGTCTCCTAGACCTCAGGTGAATGTTATAACCATTAGTCCAAAAGTTATAAAAAGGGCAGGGGTGGCAGCAGCAGCTCTTTCTCTGGACATTTGGTGCAGAATGAGGCAGGTGCCTAAACCAGTGACTCTAGAAAGCCAATTCCCATCTGTGACTTGCTAAGCAAGATAGGTGCAGGGAAACACTGATCTCCATGACAGGGCAGAGTTTAGCACCTCCCTCACTTATGGTTGATAACTTCTTTGGCTAGTCTAGGTGGCTCCCTGCTCGATGCACTGGCTTTTGTGGATCAAATTCTAAGGCTCCAGTCTCTTCCCATTCATTGTTCAGGGGCCTAAGGATGCATCTACACTGCGGCGCTAGCTCAAAATAAGCTATGCAATTTGAGCTACGCAAATTACATACCTTATTTCAAGCTTATTTCGAGATAGGACCACATTTCAAAATAGACTGCTATTCCGAAAGTCCCTGAATCCTCATGGAATGATGTTTACAGGGACGTCGGAATAGGAAGCCTGTTATATTTCAAAATAACAGGCTTGCTCAAAAGATGCGGAATAGCTATTTTGGGTACTTCTGGTATCCCGAAATAGCTCTGCAGTGTAGATGTAGCCTAAGTGTCTAACCTGCCTTTGGGGAATTGCAGTGATGATCCTGTGATTTTCTGGGCACTTAAAAAGTTAGGTGCTTTGACAGTCATCATTGCAATGACTAATCCCCTTTGTGGATTTGGGTCCAGATTCCTTAGGTCAAAGTGCAATCAGTGCATGGGAAATGAGTGGGACTTTTGAAAGCACCCAAGAGAATTAGGAGCACAAATCATTTCGGCACTTTTGAAAAATCCTACCCTAGTCAATAAAAACCTGTGATGGATTTGATGTGTGCTTCTGCTTTCCAAAGTGGCAGGGATACTATTACACAGATTTACTCCTTTCTTTTGGGTCGATACCCATTCATTACAGACCAAAGGGCCAAGACTTTCCTACCAGGTAACATTCTATTGTGCAATTTCTGTACAAAGGTGAAAGGGGTGTTATATGGAAGGGGCTGTGCTGACAGAGAAAGAAATTCAGGCTACTAATCTGCATTCCTTAGGTTTGTGATGGATGCAGTAGGTACTTTCAGTGATTAAGTTTATTAAGTACAAGACTGGCTACTCACTATCTTTTAGTTTTAGTGGGCTTTGAATCAGTCACTGAAGCACATACACATAACTAGACTACTCTAAATTTGATAGTCTAAAACCAGGGGACTACAGAATTTAAGGGTGAAGTCAATGGAAATTATCATTGAATGAGGACTGAAGGGTTAGGGCCTGAAAGAATATTTTGTTACCTGTAGATGGCAAATTTCAAAATAAAAATAAAGATCCAGTATTAGGATCATGTGAGCAATTTTACATAGCTCTGACCAAATAACTATCTACAGTATCACTGACAGATTAAGCATGGACCAGAACCCCAAGTCAGCCCACACCAGGCATTCAGACATGTGCAAAGAACCTGCTGCGGTAACAGGACTATGAAATCTGTTCAGTTCCATTGGAGGCTTTACAGGACTGAGGAAGGGTCAACTCTGACCAATTCTACTGCTAATTATTTGTATTGCCTTTTCATGTAAGGAAAAGAACCTTAAATCAACAGCAAAATCAATTCTACTACAACATTTTAACACCATCGTTTTATGATGACAACTATATGGGTAGTCAGTATCCATGCTTCTCTCCAGCGTTGGGTGTCTGAGAGAAATGCTTCTAAGTGACTGGGCCAGAGAAAAGCCAACTAGCACTTTGGCAGAAGGAAAGTCCCATTTCACAAAAGCAGCTTTTGCCAAGACTTGTGCTCCAGCTGTCCAACTGTGTTCCCAGGGTGGGTCAGGACTGTAGTTTCTAAAGCAATAGGGCTCGCATATCTTGCTCTGTAATAACCTCAAAGACTGAGCTTTATTAAGTATGTTAATAGCCAAACAAATAAAAAAAATTGACATGGTCAGTAGCTGGAAGTGATGCAAAAGAAAAAAGCCCGCTAGAAAGCAAACCAACTCTGATGCAACCCATTTGGCAACACTTAGCTCTTCATCAGGCTAGTCACAAGTTCAGGTTCTACTCCAGGACTTGGGCTCATGCCCAATGCCCACACTACTGTACTATGAAGAGAGAGGGAATTTGGGATGAATCAGAAGTTAGAGATGGAAAATACAAATTAGTGATTGGTTCCATTGCTTTGCAAACATACAAGTGTAAGGAAAAGAGACATGCAGAAGCAGAGCTACACACTTTGATGATGCCAATTAGAAATTACGTAGACAGAATAAACTATGCCAAATCAGGTGGATTATGCAAATAAATAGAACTGGGGTTAACAGGACAAATGGACACATTATCCTGCCTGCAAGAAAACCCAAAGTATTTAAAATTAATAATACATGCCTATTATACAAAGTATCTACAATTTTTAAAAACAGTATTGCTCATTATTATCTATAGTGTGTAATGTATTTCTCTACTCATTCAAATAGGGTCTTTAAAAGGTTCCAAGATCTAGCTAGGCACATAAGGAGTTAAATAAACAGCTTCTGTGAAAAAGGTCCTAAACTGTATATGCTTCTCAGATATCATATGAACCACATGACTGAGAAGGGTTTTTTTTGTTTTTTTTTTTTAAACTAAATTCACTCACTACTTTCATATTTCCAGCTGTCAAGATAATAAAATCTTGTAAAGAGCAGGGATGCTGTAGTATAAGTGCACTCAAAGACTGACCTTAAAGCACAGGGAAACATTCCACCACCTAAGCTCTCTCTGTACAGTGATTACTCATACCTAGTTACATTCCAGTGCTGCCTATCTGCAAAACCCTGGTTTCCATGACTCATGTGGAAAATGCTTTTTAAAATAAAAGACTATTGGATCTTATTTCCTTTTCCAGGGTTTGCCTATAAGAGTTGTGTTAGACTGATATTTAACACACAAAGCCCTAATGAGGGAGCTATTTTTAAAAAATTATATATTAGCTCTTTATTGACTTTAGATTGACTATGTGCTCCATGGGTTCTAAACTGAGTTTAATGACCGGTCAGCCAATCCTGTAATGCAATATGGCCCTTATTAGAGATGTCATAGTGTAGCAGAATACCTGACTAACTGATAAACCTGGGCTTAAGCATTCACCCTACCTTGCTAACTCTGAATCAGGGGCAACAAAGCGGGGGTGGGGGAAGAACGCGGGAGCCAGTACACGCAGTAAGCCAGTTCCCTGTGCATATTGTATGGACAAGGGAGGCTGCTCCATGGGATGCCGTTACAGCCTTTGTCTGCGGGGAGCTCGGACCCCCCTGCAGACAGGGGCTGCTGCCGACCTGCATTGCTGCCTCTGTATCAGAGGCAGCAGGGTGGGGCAGCATGCAGGAACCGATCTGTGAGGGGAGCCAGTTTAAAAACCAGCTCCCCACACAGACTGGCTCCTGCCTGTGTCCCCATGCTGCTGTCTCTGATACAGCGGTAGCAGCACAGAGTGGCAGAGGGCTCACAACTATTCAATTAATCACTAACATCCCTAGCCCTTACTAAAGGTTTCAAAATCTGCTACTGCAAATTCACAATAATTAATCCCTCTTTATTAATTATAAGTTATGTTTGCATAGCACCTTTTTATCCCAAAGGATCTTAAACACTTTACAAACTGATATGGGGGTTCTGGAGCTATTTTTATAGTGTGGATGCTGCGAGTCATTGAATCAAACTGTAAACTCTGTATATGATGGAAACCACTTCAAGTCAGGGGTGCTGCCACACCCTGCATCCCTTGTTCCAGTGCCTATGAATGATTATATAAATTATAGCCAATAGTAATGCATTTCCGCACTGAAAAGCAGCCACTTTGGGGTGGGGGGGGGGAGGGAAGGAAGGAGAGTGACAACAGCTCACAACAACCCTGCACAACCGTTTAGGACAGAAAGTGAAGAATTGTAGCCTGATTGCTTCAAAAAAGGATTGTTAGGAATGATGGGCTTTGATAAAGGCCATCTCATACTTGGAGGGAAGGATGTAGCTAGTCTTAGGTTCTCTTTCACCTAAGCAATAATTTACTTATTCTTTCTAAAGGTTGATAACATAGAAAGTGTTACTGAGAAATTACCCTCTGACCAAACCCTCCCCATCCACTAGACTGACAATATATGCCGTATGTTCCATGCCAAAACATGCATACTGTACCTCTCAATTCTCTAACATGCCAACCAGGAGCAAATGAAAAAGGAAAACAAAGGGATAAAATTAGGATAGTCACAATAGCGAGATAGGGCTCACATATTCAAAATGACTGATCAGAATTAGTTTTTAATTAAAAAAATAAAAAAGCATTCAACTATATTTAGCAGCAAACAGCAAACTTAAAAAAAAAAGTGAAAGATTGTAATTATAACACTGAGGGTGGTAAAGAGGGGTAGGGGAGAGCCATGTTACAGGAACAAACTGGCAGCATAAACTGCCACCAAAATATAAAATAATGGAGGTTCGGAGCCTATTCCACTGATGTCAGTGACGAAACTCCTGCCAATATCAGGGGGGCAGGGCCTGGTTGTAGATATGCAACCCTGTAATGGGTGGATCAAGGTGATGGTGACAAATGTTAATAAAGGTTGAATTTCTCTAGCCTGGTACACTCTGATCCAGTAACTTCCATGGTCTGGCACGATTTTAGTTAGCTGGATAGCCACTTATCATGGGTGCGACCAAGTTTCCTGTGGTCCCATAAAGTCTGTTTCCAGTCCCGGCTCTCAGTGTTCTGTGCTGTTCTTTAGCTCCGATTTACCCCAAATGTCTTCCAAGAGCCCAGTAAGCAGTAGAAACGTTGGTAATTCTGCTAGACAATATTGACCTCCCGTGGTCTGGCAAATGCTCTGGTTCAGCATCAGTCAGGTCCTGAGGGTGCCGGATTAGAGACATTCAACCTGTAGTACTTGGTCCTTACATAGCAGTATGCATCTTCAAAGCACTGTGCATACTACTCCTAAGTGAACTAAGTACGTACTATTCAAACACAGAAACAGATGGAGTTAAAATGATTTGTCTAAGACTCTCTAGTAAGTCAGTTACAAACCGGGATTAGAACTCCATGGGGACTCTTGAACATTTCAAAATCAGGGAGCGCAGAGTCGCAGGGACTGCTTGAGTCCCTCACTGGTCCCATGCTCCCCGGAGTGCTTCTACCTTTGAAATGTAGCAAGAGCCCTGCCGACTCTTGCTACATTTCTAAGGCGGAGGTGCGCTCATTGACTAATCGAACAGTCGATGCAAATTATATTGACTATTCAATTAGTTGATTAATCTGAATTTAACATCCTTAGTGCAGACCTGGCCTTAGTCTTCCCCATAAGCTCCCCCTCACCCAGCAAGCAAAAGTTCAAATCTGTGAACTGAACCAGATTTTCCCATGTGCCAGAGCACTCGTGCTAGCCAACTGGGATAGTGAAACATTTCAGCACATCACATGTTTTTATTTGCCAGTGAGTTGGCTCAGCCCATGAGAACAGCTCAGAAGAGACAGTTTTGATGGAATCATGATGACAAAAGATATTAGTTCCTTCTCTTTTTTTTTCCCTATTGTTTTCCCCAGGGCTGGATGTTCCATTTTCTCACTCCCCTTCCCAGGTGCCAACTTGTCACTACCCTTCCAGTGTGCCCACTATCAGGGCTCCCCTGGACTGCCTCACACACTGCCTCCCCTCTGTACTGGGGCCAGAGCATTCCTCCTTCTGAGCACTCCCATGACTCAATCAACATCCACTGAGGCAACGGGAGCCTTTCCATTGATTTCAGCAG